ATTTTAGCTATTATCTTTTCACAGGCAAAGGATATGGTTGAGCTGTCAAAAACAATTGCAAAGAAAATCAAAGACAAGCAGGGTGACATCACAGAAGATGAGGTATTCTCACTGTTGCTGTGGTACCTTACTATTGCATACATTTATAACTAGGGTAGTGTTATTGTTGATAGAAAATAGTACCCAGACTTTTAGGTTCTTAAAATGTTTTACTGGTTGCCTGATTATAAATTAACATTATTCCAGGTTTTGTCACTAAGTTTATATGTGTTTGAATTGTAAGATTCTGATACAATTTTCCAGACCATAAAATTCAAGTCGTATTTGCTGAGTCTGGGCATACCTGATCCAGTGACAAGAGAGACCCATGGCTCTGGAGCCATGTACCACATTGAGCTTGCCAGGGAGCTATCACGTATTCTGGAGCATCCTTTACAGGTAAAGGTGTGGTTGAAAAATTATAAGTGTGTCTAGGCCCTAGAATCATAGGCATGTTCAATAAAACCAATAATTATTTAGATGTCAGAGCTCGCACACTCGCAAAATGCGAGTGAATTTCCGAAATTGCGAGTAGAAAATATAATCGCTTGCAATTTTGTGCGAGTGACATATAATCTGTTGTGATGTCTATCAAAATCCAACATCCTATATCCAGGCATTTTAAAAGTAACAAGTTGTCAACATAATGGAACTAGACCAACTACTTTCTGCAAAATTATAAACAAGAACTTGTCTACAAACTAAGTAAGGATTGTAAACCTCGCGTGATTGGCCGCTACCGAGTGTGCCGTAAGCGCAATATGGTTCATTGGGCGCTGTAAGATAATTATGTTAGTATTGTTTAGTACTTATACGCGCACACGATGGCGCCACTTGTAAGAACATTAGAACGTTTCGCGGTTATCTTTAAAAGGCGCGTTCACACGGACGTTTTTGGCTCAACCCTAATTAGGCCCGCGCCAGATTTGGCTCGAGCCGAGCGTTCACACGGCCGTTTTTGGCCCGAGCCTAATTAGGCCCGTGCCAGATTTGGTCCCAACGAAAACGTCGGACCAGGCCCGAGCCAAATTTTTGCCCCAGCTTTCGGCGAGTGGTAGAGCGGTAGAATCGGTTGAGCGGTAGATGCCGCGAGTGTCGAACGTGTACTTCGACGAAATAAAGTCCAAAACAGTATAAAAATTCGAAAAATTTGATCAGGATGCACGTTTTCAAGATTGATAATTGAACTCGGAACGCAAGTAAACACTCTGAATCGTACACAACACCATCTCCCGACATACTGCCAAAGTATCTGTGAGATATTTGTGCAATAAAATTTATTTGAATTTGAATTTGAATTTGACAGACAGTATTCACTTGCGTACGTGTGAACGCTCCGACTCAAACCGGCCCGAGCCAAATCTAGCCCATTTGGCTCGAGCCAAACCACGACCGTGTGAACGCGACTTTTGTCCTCGCTAGTTACCTTAACATTTACCTTTATTTTATTTTACACAACACAATCAAAGCAACATATTACAAAACTAAAGTATCTAAAGATATAACATTTTTAATTACAGTGTTAGCATATTATACACTACAAAAATAAATATATTAAAAATGCGAGAGTTTCGGGTTTTGCGAGTTGAAATTTGACCCACTCTCAAAAAAGTGGTTTCAAAAGTTAAATTCTACCCCTAACCTTGATGTGAACCTAGTTCACATTTACTAGTAGTTGTGCCCATACCAATATCCAGTTATATATATGAATAGAATATCTTGTGTAACGTTTTGTATATCAATAAAATTATGCTGCTCCGATACCGTCCAACATGAGCTACATACCTTGACTCGTCGCTAAACGTAAATATCTTCCAACCTGCTACTGGTAGGGTGTTACCGTGTATTTGTCTTACATATTAAGATGTGTGGTAAATATTTATTGTTATATTAATATCGCAATTCACATTGCTTTGTGATAATCACAGTTGGACTAATACAATTTCTGTAGTTCATCCATGATGTGTCGGTGTGAGTTTTTCTCATACGCGTTATGTGCATGCAGATACCTGTGAGTATATGTATGCTGTATTGTATGTTATTTATATGTACATGTGTGTCCTCCTTTGCATGCATATGTGCAGTTAAGGCAGCTAATGGTGTTGTGTGCAGGAGCAAGGAGGCATGATGACACTGACAGATGTGTACTGCTGGGTGAATAGAGCAAGGGGGATGGAGCTGCTGTCTCCAGATGATCTCCTCAATGCTTGTAAGATGCTTCAGCCCCTCCAGCTACCAATCAGGTTCGAAGCAGCCATTACTAAAATTATGAATTCATATTTATCTTGTGTTAAATCCAAGAAATTAACTTGCTATCGAAATTTTCGATTGCCTTTCGGGAAATCTTCATCAGGATGTGACGTCACCATAGGTGGCAGCAGGTGACATCATGAAGTTCGTGATGTGTTACACTCGAGGGGGCCTGCCGCAGGTATGCGGCCTCGGCTTCAATAAATTGTCACATCCTGATTTCTTGGATTTAACACAAGATAAATATGAATTCATATTTTTCAACGAAATCCAATGAACTTATTTCATTCATTACTAAAATTGTTGTTATTTCAAGTAGCTGTTATGGTATAGTGCATCAGTGTCAGTTAACAAGGTGACAGTAAAACAGGTTTTTAATAATTCCATAGGTATCAATGGTAAAGTTAAACCTAAAGAGAGCAATACACTAAATAAACAGAACTATGACATGTATGATACAGTTATTCAATACTTTCTTCATTTTCTGTACAGCTGCGGCTGTTTTCATAGTCGGTGATGCTATTATAGTAAAGTAACGTTAACTATGATTTCTGCTTGTCCGAAAACATTGTTAATGTTGTTTTTATTGATTTCTTTAGGTTGAGGATATTTGATAGTGGTGTGATGGTTCTGCATCTTCTGTCTCAGAATGAAGAAGAAGTCATCTTAGCAACTACTGAGCTTGTAGGCATCCCCTTATCTACTTGCTTGTAGCATCTGACGCTGCCTTGTGTAATAGTGTCAAGTTATTTTAATGGTCTATATTATATAACAGTTTCCAAGTTCATAGTTTTGTTGCAAATTTCTGGCTTATTGAGGATACATGTGAATATTTGTAATAATTTGACCATACTCTCAGTATGTACATATCTATTATATAAAGTGGCGAGTGCATGGCGAGTTTATATTGTACTACAGAAATTTCCCTGATAGACAGAACAGGGTTTGGGTGACAGTTTACTGGCTGCTGTTGCTGTTGCTGTAGCGCTCTAGATGTCTTGACATTTTGTTGCAGCTAAACGAAAAAGGTTCTCTGACAGCAAACGAACTGTCCCAATTGGTCGGAGTGTCTGTGATTCTAGCCAAAGAACGGTAAGTGCCTTTTTTAATATTCTGTGAAAACTAGTATGATTGACAAGAGACAGACCAACCAGAATTTTAGCATAGGGGTGTATAACGAGAACTTACTATATATTATGTGCTTTGCCTATTGATGCTCGTCTGCTAATTGTTACTCTATCTAGAATCTAGATGGTTTCAAGTACAGCTTTATTAAACGGTAGGTGGCAGCACTATTCTTGCACAAATGTATATTAGCAATCATCAATGCATCATTGCTGCCAATTAAATATAATCCCGCAAAAGACTCAGACTAACGTTTAAAGTATGTGTGGATAATTGGTTATTCTCTTGTTAGTTTCATTTTGCTTTTGGTGATTGATGCTTAGTTGAGTATTTTAACCTGATACTAGTGGGTGTTATTATGAATTGATAATTAATTTAGCATTGCCCGTAGTGGTCAGCAGTGGTATTCATAATTTTCCAACGGTTTTTGTTCGTCGTAACCATACATAGGTTGCTCACACATGATGTGCCAGTGTTTTCTGTGAAACCCATACAGTTGACACAGCCTGTGAGACTATAAATATGTAAATGTTTTCTGATACGAATTCTTGTCCATAGGTTGCTTGCCACCGAGAAGTTTGGTGGAGTCTGCCGGGATGACTCAATAGAGGGGCTGCGCTTCTACCCAAACCTCTTTCTTACAAAAACTTGTTGAGTAGATGTTACTGGACTAGCATAGGCCCATTCCTTCAATCAGTGGCATTTCAAGGGTTTTATTACGCAGAACCTGGCTTTATTGGATGCTTGATAATATCAGCCATTCACATGTATTCATACAGTGATTATGTGTTAGGTGTTCACTATAATATCATATTATGTGCCTCCTTCTTAAGAAATCTTCTCTTGTGAAATGTTTGAGTCTATCAGAGAAGTTTTACATTTTATTCATTGTACTTGTGGAAGAAATTCCACTATGGCTTGTATCACACACTTGTGAAGATTCAGTGTATTAAGTAGTGTTAACTGTTGAGGGAGGCCATAACTATTTTTCATAGTTATGCATGTTGTTTCAAAATCGTGCTAATCATGATCATGCCATGCATGATGTAACTAAAAGAAAATAATGACACAAAAAAGCAAATCCAACTAAAATGGTGTCCTAATTCATTATATCCATATTGTGCTCATCACGTGAACGTTTTGGCTACCATAATGAATTTTGTTCTGGATATATCGTTATCGAAGATGTGTGCTCAGTTCGTTGCTGGGGCAATTGACTGCGTGGATATAGAACTAGTTAGAAGGTTGAAACATAATTGTTAGTTACTTACTGATTACTAAACAAAGTACTCGGCTGCTTCAACTTACCCAACCAAGTATACATATGGTTAAAAAGGGTGGGTGTTGCCCTGTGATGGGGCATGTAAGCCATAGTCAGGATTTTTTTGTACTATACCTCGCATATGTATACTAATTAAACTGCTATAAAGTTGGCTTAATGAAACTGCATGGGGCAGAATAGGATTAGCGTTTTTGCCATTTTTCCCTAGCTGTTTACATTGTGCTGCCTGCTTTCTCTTGTAAATAAAGTACTCTTGTTTCATGAATGTAATAATATCTGTTTTGCATCGTCGATCTCTATATCAGATGTTACATAGTAAAGTATGAACATAATAAATAATATATGATTACTCCTTATTTAGATATGTTACATCAAGATTGAATGTCCAGGTTGAATAATAGAATAGAATCAAGAGAGAGAGAGAGAGAGAGAGAGAGAGAGAGAGAGAATAAGAGGATAATTTTCACATCGTATCACCAAGCTCTTGGTTATATGGACACTCGTCAGGTCATGATGCTTTCTTTATTCTTGAAAAGTCTCAATTGTTTGAATACGTGACAGGTTATAGTTATTGTGATTATTGACAAGTCAAGGACTTGGTTCTTCAGCGTGTACTAAGCACAGACCGATCCGTGACTAGCTTGCTTGAGACAGACCACTGTGCGATGTTGCTGTGCGGCTTATATTACATAACAAGGCGGTTTTAGTTAAAGCTTTTTGATCCTCAAAGGTTGGCATGTGGTGGCTTTCGGAATGAGGAGTGGACCATAAACACGCCTGCACATGCACGCAGGCAGGCATACGCAATTACGCTGTTCATTGTTAATATACGTCCCATTTTAGCACACTTAATGTAGGCGTCAGTCATCACTTACACAACGTGCACAATCGATACGAATTGTTACTTCCCGAAAACAGTTGACATAACATGGCTTCATTTTCCTCTAATTTCTTTATTACCACCCATTGTTGCTACAGTAGAGGTTGTTCACACATCGACATTAATTTGTTATTCTTTACGTAATTGACTACTAGCATGCTGGTGAGTGATATGATGCAGTGCGTGAGGCCTTCATCTCTCCCCAACGCGTCCAAAAAAACTACAACTGCATTACATATGCTAACTGCGGTAGAGTTTTTCTTCTTCGGTAAATATTTTGATTACAGTCGTCACTGAGAGAGAGAGAGCGCGCGAGAGAGCGAGGGGGGCATTGAGAGAGTTGCGTGCGGTTTGTAATGGCAGCCGCGGTGACTAATTACTTTTGGGTTTCTGCTGTTTTACATCATCGGTGAGGATTATAGACCCTGATATCAACAGTGACGCTGAGATATTTCTCATCATGACGTTCCAAAGGTGGGGAAACAGGGCGTGTATTACCGGAGTAAGACCCCACGCAGGCAGGATATTCGTATTCTCGGACACGTCTGTGATTGTACATAGAAATATTTCGCGTTGTAGTAACTGTTGTAGAACCACGTTCATCACGACAAAAAAGCGAGGAATGCTTTTAAGACGCCACCGACTTGAGCAGAGCACCTATACATGGTTAAATTTAATCATAGATATAGAATACAGAATAATCTTCTATTCTATATCTATGATTTAATAGGAATTTAATTAAATCAATCAATAAATGAAATCAATTTAATTTTCTCGAAATCGAATGGGGGCCTTTTAGTATATTAATTACTGTCGTAGTAGTGTGCAGTAATAGATCAGGCGACATAAATATATAATGTTTTTCACGTGTACGTAGGTGAGTTCAGGCCTTTGCATTTTTCCAAGCGATTTGTGCCGGTAATAGACTAGATCGGTTTTCGTATCTGCGACGATCGCGTGATAAAAAAATTCGCTTACTAATGCGAACCGTGGTTGCCATGATGAATGCGTGTGCAGTAATATCCAGCGTATACGTTATCAATGATGATGACCACAGTCTTTCTCGGCGAAATTGATTATATCTGATACTGACGGTGACGGCGTTCAACAGTGCCACGTTCGAAATGAGACGGCCTTGACAATTCATGTGCTAAACGCAGTCGCGTGAGTGTGCGTGCTCGCGATATTCACAACCGTGCCAAATGTGCCACATTAGTTATATGTCCCCATACTGCCGTCAACAACGGTAGCAATTATTAGATGGCAGCTATCCTCATTGGGAAAAGCAAACGTACGCATTTGTGAAAGCATACCCGCGGCTAGCTCTACTCGTGCAGCCCTTTGCAGCCTTTAAGAGGAGACCTACAACTAGCTGTACAACGGGAGCGCAGGACGACATGGTTAGAGCTACATCGCGGCTAGGCACGCACACTCACGCACGCGCGTTCACGCGTGCACGTACGTACGCTGACACGAACGCACTCGCGCGCAGTTGTATCGAGGGGATTATGTTTTACATCAGCACTGTCAAACATGTCAAACATCTACATACGCATGTATGAACTTCGGTTGCGGCGCATCGCTTCCATGTCTACACGCCATAACATTAAACATTCAAACCCCGAATGAAATGAACTGAAACTGTTTTGCGTACGAGAGCTATCGCGAGGCGAAAATGGCTTTGCTAAACATAGCAGAAACGGGGCGAGTAACCATTTCCTCCGGTACGATGGCGTCGCATGGATACCTTCTAATTTATAACAGCCGCCAACATATTAACTTTTACTTGTCATAAGTTGACAAGAAAATCTGCGAAATGTAAACAGACGTCTATACGGATATACAATTTCATTATTTCATTTCATCGCATCGTCATATATATATATATATATATCGTCTAACCATTGAAGAAGTGCTTGAATGCTCCTTGTTCCTTCGCACCTGCCTTCTTCTATTGGTTCTATTGGCCGTAAATGGAAACAAAACAAGCCACGTCATAGCGATACACATGTTACGCTGTCATGGCGGTGAGAACAATCAAACTTGCGGCTAGTGCGGCGCTGAGTGCTTGCCATTTCTCTGAAAACATTGGCCATGCGCTCTATTTTCATGAGCAAACTGAATAAGCCCCGCGGTCGTGCTGCTGGTCACAACCGCAACCCTGTACAGCTTTCTAACGCCGCTGTAATGTGACAGTTTTCTCTGATGTGTGTAAAGCCTTGTGCGGTGACAGGAATTGACGCTTTGAGTCGGGGGAACGGAAATTAAAATACAGGGAATAGCGACGGATGAGGGCTATCATTATAGAATCGCGATTTAACTTATTTCTATATACACCACGCGACGACATGAGAGATTGCGCAGTCTAAAGCTGCCTATGCCACACACAGTTTCCGACGCCACTTGACAGCTGGTAAACACACATGAATAGCTAACACAGAGTGATATAGGTTTACCATTGCAGCTAAGCCGCGAACGGTCCCTTTGCCATCGAATGGCCCCTTTGGTGATGAAAGTTTTACCGATAAGAGTTTTCAATTAAGTTTGTCCCAGCGTTCGCTAGAACTACGCTCGCCAGGGTGATAGTAAATACATTACTGTTTGAAGAACCGTAGCGAACAGATGGTACGAAGTTGACTCACTTCATTGACATTTTCTGGCGTCCGTGCCGAAATGACACACTGCGAAATGGCGTGCATTCCGTCGAATGAAATTGACAGGAGAAATCTATGCGTAAGCCTTATTTGGTATTACTTTCCAGGTAGAAATGAAAGTATACCTGACAACATTTTATTATCGAACACACCGGAAGGACATATGTTTAGAGATACGACCGTTTTCATTAGCCTATGTTAGGAACTGAGAACGAGAAAGCTGTGAATAAATTATGCGCAAGGTAAGATTGTGAGAAAACATCCGATTCCTGTTACCTTTCCGTGAGACATACCTTTTATATATTCTATATATAATTTTATTTTATTTTATTTAATTTATTTAT